ATTAATCACAATTTTTTTTAATTAGATGATGTGGTATGTCAGAGAGTTGATGAGTACAAGTCTTAATGGTAACCAAGAATGGAAAGCCAAAGAGGTATGCGGGCTACAATTTTTGGGGAAATATGTGCGCTTATGCAGATAGCGTGATAATGTAAATCTTACCTAAACATAAATTGAGGCTAAGATGCTGAACTTTCACAAGGTTGTCTGTGTAGCATTTATGTTAGTGTGAGATTCTGCTTGAAGTGGTTGATATGAAGCAGATGACAAGTATGATATGAAGTAGAGGTGTTATATGAAGTAGGTTGAGAAGCAGCAGACATTAGCTATTGTGTATAATTCTGATTTTTAAAAGGAGTGCTAGTGGACAGTTAGGTATGTTTTAGGTACTTTGAATTTGGACCCAAGCGGGTAAGAATATTAGTATTAAAACACTATTGTTTTAATCAACATCTTCCTTGGATATACTCCTGTTTTTTAAATAGTGAGAATGATGTCTGAAAAATGCTTTTGATAGCAAAGGGCGTGGTTTGTGGTGAGACAATGTATTTCTTTAAATTATTGGAATGTAGTTTGTGGAGAGGATAGGAGCATAAATCTTTCAGGTGCACAAACTGTTCTTCATGCTTTTTCTGAGCTTGTCTGTGTTTTCCGTCTATAGTGCATGGTCTAAATAGCTTATTTCTCCCGTTAAACTTGCTTGTTGTCCTTTGCATCATCTGATGAATATACCCTGTCTCGCTGTACCTGTGAATCTCTGTACCCTTAGCAGGGATCGATCTTGGGCATTTGGGCTGGAATGGAGTCCTGTGGGTTCACCTTACAAGGCATGCATGGATATCACATCTGTCTTTTTCACCTGTGTTGCCAGAGGTGGCTGTGACAGTGGAATTGCACTGGAGGCTGGCTGTGTTATTGCGGTAGCTTTTCTTCTCAAGACCCGATGAACAAGTGGCATGAAGACTCTGCCAGTTTCCTTGCAGAATGTGACAGTGCTGTCTCCTTGTTATTTTATATATACTGCTGTTGGCTACTGTCTGCACGCTTATCATTGTGTCTGTCATGCAATGACAGAACTCTGAAATAGCCCTGCTCCCTGGCATTCTGTGGCCAGCAAAGCTGATGAAATGTGAAATGTTGGAGTATGTTGGAGTGCCTCCTAAAGGCAGCTATTGTATGGCTTGTTGTTATGAAAATGCTAGAGAAAAAAATCTAATAACCATACTGGGATTGTTTGGGTCAAATTATTTTTTTTTTTTTTTACAGTCTGCAGTAGAGGATATATTAATGTGATAGACAGTATAGTTTTGTAGACATGACACCAGTTGTGAAGAGCTCTGTATTTGCAAGTGCAGGTAAACTGTAAGTTTGTGGATCAGATGGTCTCTTTTCAACATCCTCTCCCTCATGGACATCAGGAAGTCTTTATGTAAACCTTTCTTTGGGCCAATTGCCCTCCAGAACTTTGGTAGAAGCAGTGTTGAGTACACCTGAGATTGTGGAGGACAATCATCTTTTCCATGTTGAGGAAAAAAAAGATTTGTATGGTAAAACCCAAACTTCCACTGCACCTCACTTTGTCTTTTGTTCTGTTGTGACTCTCGTTGGGAAGTGTTACTGCAGTAGTCGTCGTTGGGATGTATCTTAATGATCTTAATCTTAAGATCACACCAATGTATCCAGTCTGCTCTTAATTCTGCCACAATGTTTTGGACATTACTTTCCAGGCTTTTTACCCAGGCTGCCAGACATATACCTTAATGTACATTTTAACTTTTTGTATTTCTAAATTAATGGCTTTTATGTTGTATCCTCCTTTAACTCAATAACCCATATTTTGTTAAGTTAGTGCATTCATGCGTTGTATACCTATATCCATTTCTTAGTTATACAAAGTTTGGTTTTGAATACTCTTCTCATATTTTATTTTTTAAAGTTTTTTGTTAGCTACTGACTTTGTTGTCTCTGCAGCATTAATATCTTCAGATCTTGGCATGCTTTTCCTGATAGTTTGACTTTCATTCAGCTGAAATATCAGCAAATTAAGACATACGAATTGGTTTGTGTGTATGCAGATTGTTCTAAAAAGTTTATCATGCAGGTAATTCATGAGATGGCATTTTCCTCTAGTTTCGTGTATTTTGAGGTTAGCTTTGCCGCAAGGCAGAAAGTAGTTCAGTTTTGTAAACCTCAGCTTGCTTTTTCTCCTCCTTTGTGGAGCTATCGCATGACTGATGAAAGTCTCTAAAAATTATCCAGGTGGATATGGTTCCGTTGAAAGCACAGTAGGCCAGATGCTCTTTGTGGTAACTTTCTAATTTGTATTATATTTGTGTTTGGGGTTGTGCAGATGTCAGACACACGAAATGGTGACCTGGCTTTCTGAAGACCTGAAAAGATTTGTTGTGCTAGTGACTATTGTTGGATTATTTAATTTTTTAAATTTTTTACCTACTCCTGGAATTGCCATCTTACATACATTTCTTCCTTTGATCAAAGACTGAATTTCAGAGCTCAGCGGCAGCAAAATCTCTCTTGTCTGCTGTTGCCATAACATTCTGCCACCAATACTGACAGTGAAAAGTGTTCATTGGTCGTAATTGCTTTTACAGTGGTTTCTAAGGCAACTAGCACACCTAGCCACAAAATTAATTTTGTAGAACAGAAGTAGTGCACAAAGAAAATGCTAGCACTACCACGATTACCTGTTTTTTTTTTTCAAAAGTGAAAAAAAAAATAGAAAACCCACAATGCCTTAAAATACATTGCAAATGAGGCATGCCATTTGTTCCGTGAAGCATCTGCCAAATTCATGTGTATCTCAAAATGCAGGAACTCTAAAAATTGCATTTGATGCAATGTTACTTTTTAGGTTTTATCTGAACTTTCCATATTCTCTCCAAGATGTGTGAAGAGGCAAAGGATCACTTTCAGCCTGTACAAAACTAAACTTGGGAACTCTTCGTTCTGTCTGGAAAGGAAAAAATCTGATGTCTTTAGTTTTGTCTGTATAGATACTAATCTTGAAATACTTTTATGTTACTCAGTCTTAATAACTGCAGAGAAAATTTGTTAGTCAGATTTATGTGTGTTTCCTTCTGGAAAGAAGAGAACTCACAAGTAATTGCTTCAAAATTTATCTTTACCACAAACGATACTGAAGTAAAGTTTGGTTCTTTTTATACTTCCCTTCAGATGATGGGAAGATGGAAGAAGATGATGCATTTGCAAATGCATGATTTCCTTGTAAGTGGCACGTAGGAGTAGGGTGAAAAGAGACTGTCAAAATACACTTTGAATGAGCATGTCAGTTATTGCTACAAAACCACATAAAGTAGATGGTAACTGTAGTGGAAGTTATTTGAGATGTGCAGCTCACAGGTACATTCAGTCTTTTCAGTACTCTGGGCCGTCTTCTCTGTGTTGCAGGCTCAGAAGGGTTGTGGCGTGCTGCAACTTCCATGCGACAATGTGGCAGTGTTGCATGGCAGTGTTCACTCAAAGGTCCAACAACAGTAGTAGTAGATGTATAAAAGTAGTGGACATGAAGACCTTGTGGTGTGTGATTTCTTAGGGTTTGAACCTACTTCTGGATGCTCAGACTTCCTGACTTAAACAGTTTCTTCTGTTGGTCTCCATTAAGATTGTTGCATCTTTGTCCAGTTGATAAGGCTCTGAAAATTCTCAGCATCACAAATGTGAGAAGATAGATAGAAATGTACTGCCACAAACTTTGAAAATTCCATCTTCGGGGCATGCTTTTTTCAGGTAGCAGCCTGAAGTAGCCTTACTCACTGGAACTGAGTCTTGTTGTGGCTCATTTATAATTTATGTATCTCTAAGTTTTTGATACTGTTTCTCTTCTCATTTTGTCTCTGTCTATTTTCTGTCCTGCTGTGGGGAAAAAGGAGGAGTTATTGTTACTTTCAATTAGAGTACAAGCTGTTTGAACTGTGGGCTTTAACTTTTTTTTTTTATCTCAAGTATGGTAAGGCTCTGAAACACTTATGTATACAAACAGCATATTACTGCATACATACTTAATACATACTTATGTATACAAACAGCACATTCTAAGATCAATTTGTAGCTGGGGCCCTTGATCTAAGGGCTCTTAGATCAAGACCAAAGCCCAATTTCTTCTTGTATCATAGACTTTTTCCATCTCTGCTCTGCAGATTGCTGATACGGGAACTTACTGTTTTCCTGGAAGGTATTTCATGCCAATTCTCAGGAAGGTTAAGATTAATAATGGTCCGCAGTCAAACAAATTCATTGTGCAGGCAACCACAAGCTGAAAGCTTAAGTCATTGTATTTGTGTTTAGGTCATAATATTTCCAACTGGAGTGATTGTTTTGGAGCTTGTAAAAATTGCATCTGATGTGGATTAACCTCAGTTCTGGTAGGCGGTTTTCCTCAAGTCACTCATATTACTGCTGCTGTGGCATGTATGCATGTGCCTCCAATAGGTGTCAGAACACAGACTATGGCTTTGCTGCCTTCAGGGGTCAAACTGACTGTATACAGTCATTTTTGCTTAGGAGGCAGTATAGATGTGTTTGTGTGACAAGAGGTCTGGCTGAAAGGCAACTGACTGAGAAAGAACAGGGGATACGTTACCAGAAGCAATACTGTCATCTGAAGGTTTTATTCACATGAAGTTAAAAAGACAGCTCTGTT